TTCTTGTATTGAAGACATCTTGAGGAAGGTAGATTGAGAAACCGAAATTTATAATTCATAGGCCAGCCAACTTTGAATTTAGTTTTGTGAGTGTGTACATCTTTTCTATCTTTTAAACAGATTTAGTTGAGCTTACAGAATGTTTCCTCTTTAAGAAATATATGGAGATGTTATGTCCTGTTTATATTGACTGCGTGTTTTATTTGTTGCTTATTAGCTGTTCTTCATAATATTTTTGGTCAGTTTAAAAAAGTGAGAAATGTCATTGCAAATGGAATTTGTACTTCAAAGAGCTTTTATTTATGTATATATGGGAAAATATTAAGTATCAAAAATCAGTGATTTAGGTGAAATATATCTCAGTGGTAAAGAACATGCCTGACATGCACGAGGCTCTGATCTCAGTCCCAGCATCTCCAAACTACACTTAGAGTCAAATAGTGTCCTCAGATTATATGAATAAGTAAGATCATATTTAAATTAATTTTGAGTGTATTCTATGTCATTTAGTTTTAAAGTATCTCTGCAGTAAAAGATAGATTGACAGGGAGAGGTTAAGAATTGAGATTATTTTGTCTCATTTTTAAATAACCAAATTGAATCAAAGCCATGCATTTGAATTCATAGCAAAGTCTTCACTGGAACAAACACATCTCTAAACCTCTTCTTCCAAAGCTCTTTCATTAGGGTAATTGTCTGGAACTTTATTTACGTTAATCTTGTCATTCTAAAATTTTGACAGTTATCCTCATTGTAAAGAAGTGAAGCTTACATGTCTATTAATGAATCTTGTTTTAAGAAAACCACCTACAGCCGGCCTTGTTGGTAAAGGCCTAAAAGGCCAGCCTAAGCCATTTAATGAGCCTTTGTCTCAAAATAAAAAATAAATAGGAGGCGATGGCAGGAGGATGCCACAGGTTTGAACTTTCCTGGTCTACATAGTAAATTTTGAGCCAACCAGGGCTACATAGTGAAATTCTGTCTTCAAAAACAAAACAACAGCAACAACAACCCCAAACAACAAAACCCCAAGAAAAACAAAACCACAAATAGATGGGGAGTAAAAAGAAGACTGAGAATATAAGTAGTAGAGTGCTTTCCTAGCCTTCAAGACATCCTAGATCCACTCCTCCACTACCTTACACACACACTCTCTCACACAAGCAAGTGAGCAAAGTACAGTGATGTTTGTGTGTATATGTATGCACATTATGTGTGATTGTGGAAGTGCCATGAATTATAACTCATATTTTAATTTTGTGCAGTAATTCTATAATATTGAATAATTTTAAGTTCATTTTCTATAAAATATCTTTCTCTCAGGATAAATTCCTGTCAATCTGATTTGTAACTTGTTTTTTTTTTTTTCTTTTTTTTTTTGATTTTTCGAGACAGGGTTTCTCCGTAGCTTTTGGTTCCTGTCCTGGAACTAGCTCTTGTAGACCAGGCTAGCCTCGAACTCACAGAGATCCGCCTGCCTCTGCCTCCCGAGTGCTGGGATTAAAGGCGTGCGCCACCACCGCCCAGCTCTTGTAACTTTTTTTTAAGAGAAACACTCCCTTTTCATTTACTTTTGTGTTTCATAAGTATAATAAGCTGTATCTTTAAAGCCTTAACATATTAATGATTGCAATTTTATTTAGAGTCCTTTTAGTCTAGCTGAAAATAAATTTTTATAGTCTGTTTTTTAATTTTTTGATTTACCACAATATCAGGGTATTCAAACTGTCTTACTAAGTTGTATGTATGTTTTCTTATTTTGTTAGATACTTCGTCCAAGGTTCATTGAGTATACTAAATAATGTCTGTGTGAAATGCCTAAGTTTTGGTTGGTTAATTTGTGATGCTGAAGTCAGAAGGATGCTGAGGTGAAGAAGTCTTTCTCCTTTGGGACTTACTGGAACATCTTCAATATATATTCCTTCATCTTTTACTCTCATAAATTATTTTCTAGTGAGCTTACCTCTTTTGGAGTACACCATAATCTTCTGTATGAATTGTAGCAGGCGAAGGAAATTCTATGAAAGGAAAGGAATGATTGATAAGAATCACAATATAAAGCAACCACATACCTATAGTCTTACATAACTAGTAGAGATTTTCGTAGCAGAGATGCTTTAAGTATACCAAATGCAACTGCAGAACAGATTTTATCATCAGATAAAGTGATAAAGTGTTCAAGTGTGGAACAAAGCTTCTTCGGTAACAAGGCATGTCTCTGTCTCCTAGTCCTTAGTAAGACACACCTTCAAGACTTCCATGGCCAGATAGTAGAAGGCCAGGACCAATGGTGATTGATAAAAGCTACTTGGTAATTAATTTAAAGGCTACAGAACTATGAATTTATTTCCCTTTTGTAGCTGTCTATACATCTATAAATAACACTTGTTATTGTAACAACAGTGGATGATAAAGACAGTTCACATTAGAGTGTTCCTGTAAAGTTCTTTTCCATCCCAGTAAATCCTTGTCAGTCTCAGATTTGTTACTTGTTCTCAAAAGAATTAATCCCTCTTTATTATCTGAGAAGTTTTTTTCTAGATCTTTATTCCAGTGCACCTAATCTTATGCTATAAACACAAATACCTTTTCTGTTTTTGTTTCTCCTTTCTTCTGCATTTTGTGGATCTTTTATGAAAAACATCCTTTGAATTTTCCATACTTTCAAATATTAGCATTTTGGCAAAACTAGAAGCCATACTGTGGCTTTCCTTTGTTTTACTCACAGCCATTATTCCAGTCATCCAGTTTCTCTTGTCATTTTCTGCCTTGGAGTCCTCTGTTGAGATCTTTTACACGTATATTCTTCTCTTCAGAATCAAGCATAATAAATGTTTTTCTTTCTGTTACCTATAGCACACATAAAAAAATTAGTGCATTCTTCCAGTAAACCTTCACACAGTTTTTGTTAGATGTAGATGGCAATCTTCTTTTAATTAAAAGCTCTGGAGTCTACAGCAAAGGCTATCTGATTGGCCAGTTTTGTTCTCTCACATTTGCTCCTTAACACACACACAAAAATGACATGTAAAACATAGTGATAGAAGAAACGGAGCGTGGTAGCTAGGAACATTCTGTGCTGTCTTTGCTACTTTTGAAATGCCTCAAAGAATAATCAGCATGTACGGGGACATTTTCTTTTTTTCTTTTCTTGATATGATTTTTAGAGTTATTTAAGTTCTGTATTTTTAATGTCTCATAAAAAAATCTGGCAAATAATGTTTATCTGCTCCCTTGATAAATTTTCAAACCACTTTGAAAGTGTCATTACCAGATCCTCATATGCTAGGGTACATGCTACTGAGCAGCTTTGCAATGTGCTGTCAATCTGCCTTCTGCCCTTGCTCTGTGTGTGTGTGTGTGTGTGTGTGTGTGTGTGTGTGTGTGTGTGTGTGTGTGTGCCTTTTGTGGCTGTGACAACAGGGATAATTTCCTCATGAGTCTGCCATGAGTTGGTAGTCAAATAAATGAATCTACAATTCTTATGTTGATTATGGCAACAATATTGACAAAATCTACACGATATTTTCAGGGTGGTCTTGAATTCATTAATGTTTTAACACAAGTTTCTTGGTGGTGATAGTTTGGCTTTGATCTAAATATGAACAGCTTGCTATAACGTGTGCATGTAAAAGGTGCTTCTGAAGGTGATAATACTGCATTTCCCGTCCTCAGGTTTCCTTCAGGATCATTTCACTATCTTAGCATTTCTAAGTGGGGCTCCCATTAGCAGGAGTTTGGTGACTGTGTTAATCAAAGATCATAGAAATTGTTTCTTGATGTATGGGGGAGGAGGGCTGGGATTCTGTTCCTAAAAATGTTTATCTTCTCTTCCCTTTCAGGGGGAAAAAAAATTAGTTTGGAAACTCAGGCTCAAGAGTCTTAACCAAAGCTGGGCAATAGTGGTGCATACCTTTAATCCCAGCACTTGGGAGACAGAGACAGGTGGATCTCAGTGAGTTCGAGGCCAGCCTGGTCTACAAAGCAAGTTCCAGAACAGCCAGCACTGTCGCATAGAGAAACCCTTTATCAAAAAGAAAAACAACAACAAAAAGAGTCTCAACCAAGACAGGTTGTTATGAGAAATTAAGATGGCTTGGAACATATAGTAGTTGCAGATTTGAAATTTTGCAATGAAAACCAAGAAATTTTCATACTAATTAAACATTTGCTGTTCTCTGGGGAAATATAGAAATATAAAAAAATGGTCTCAATTTAAAAATGGCATATCACATTTTCAGAGTAGGCACAACAGAAGTGTTCTATATTCACTTGTGAAAATTGCTGGTAGCTATCATCAGGTTGGGTATAAAGTTCAATGACTGATATTTTGTAAATGTTTAATTCTGAGATTCTTTTACTCAATACCTTAAGAAATTGTGTGTGTGTGTGTACTGCATGACAATGCTTAGGGTTCATTCAGTTCTCATCTTCTGCCACGTGTGACTTGGACTTAGTGACAAGCGCCTTCCCTCACCTAACTGTCACACCAGCTACTCTGTACCCCTTGTTTCTTGATGGAAGCCTAGTTTTCTTTGTAGCATTCAGAATTCTGGGAATTACTTACCACAAAAGTTACAGATTTACATTTAAGCTGCCTTGGATTTTGTCAAAGAATATCTTCTGAGAGTGCTGAAGTGCTGCTGGGGTAGGAGAAACCACTCCTCCCAGCGTGATCTCAGCAGTTATAACATTAATTTCAGGGTTGTTCACACTTACATGTTCTGAGTTATAGAAAAGTTAGACACTGTTTGTAATTTAACTTCTTAATTTCACATTTATTTAACGATATTTCCAAAGTAATTCTTTTTGTGTGTGCCATCTCCCCTAATATGCACATCAAATTTTTATTGGATACTATCCATAACTTTATTTATTTAAATAAGAAATATGCCAAACAAGCTCTGGCTTATTATGTGATTTTTTAATACCTATAACCAAAATGGGAAGTTCTTATATATATATTTCTTATATCTTTATCTTCTGTGTTTCACTGACAGAATCCCAAGGACTGCAGTAAAGCCAGGAAGCTGGTATGTAACATCAACAAAGGCTGTGGCTATGGTTGTCAACTCCATCATGTAGTTTACTGCTTCATGATTGCCTATGGCACCCAGCGAACACTCATTTTGGAATCTCAGAATTGGCGCTATGCTACTGGTGGATGGGAGACTGTGTTTAGACCTGTAAGTGAGACATGCACAGACAGGTCTGGCCTCTCCACTGGACACTGGTCAGGTAAGGAGCTTGTGTACTGTCACAGATCTCTGGTGAGGTCAGATTAGCGGGTTTCTAGGGACAGTTTTATAGGCTATAATCACCTTTTCTCTTGATTCATAAATGCTGTACATTATGCATATAAAATGTAGAACAATATTTTATTTTTAAAGTATTGTATACCTGTGAGTAGCGGCATATACCCTAATTCCAGTGCTTGGGAATCTGAGATTAGAAAATTGAGAGTTCAAGGCCAGTCTGGGCTACATGACAAAAATCTGTATCTAAAATAAACAAATACAGATTATTTAATAATTTATTTCACTTTGATGTTCATTTTATCTTGATTTAGTGAATTTGCTATTGGTTTTTTTTTCAAGGAGAACAATTTAATATTTTAATAAGGATGATGTAACTCACTTTTAAGATGATGTTATTGGATTTATTTTACTCTTCATAACTATTGCATAAAGAACCCAAGAATCTATAACATTAGCATGCCTGGAAGACTTGTTAAAATGGTGGATTCTGATACAGGCTGTCAGGAGTAGGGCTGAAGAAATTTCATTTCTGAGAAAATGTCTGTATCTTGAGACCAAGTTTGAGAATCATTGACATAAACTGTGCTGGTTACTGTCTTCATTTTACAGTTGAGGACAATGAAATATTAAAATTGAATTTTAAGTATAATCAAGAAACATTTGGTAATGGATAGCTTGCACTATTTCAGGCTTTCCCAAGTGATTAAAAATAATAGAAAGATAACAGACTGTTTTTAAGAATGAATCTTCTTAGCAATAATTTTTTGCCCTGAAAGTTTCCAGCAGAATGAGTACAAGGATAAATAGAGGCGTGGCTGAAGAAGGACTACACAATTAGCAACAAAGTCACTGTAGCCTGAAAGCAGTTTCATCAGTGAAGGGTTTCTAAAAATCTTTTCAGGTCTATTTAGAACCTACCCAAATAGTTTTAATGCACCCAGCAACAAAGTTCATAAGCACTTATAGGAATACAAGTTACTCAGCTCTGGCGGGTGTGATTCAGAGTGTCTGGCTCAACAGGACATTATCAAGGCTTGCTCAAAAAACTAAATAGATAAGCTTCAATAAAGAAATTGAATTTAGGCCCAGATTTGTAGCTCAGTGCCTAGTAGACACAGTCCCTAGCACCTATCCCCAATATTTAAAAGAAAACCAAACAACTCTACATCAGAAACACCAAGAGTGGCACTGGTATGAGCTGGGCAGAGGGACCTAGGAGCATGTGTCCTTGGCTAGTCTGGGCAACATGGATGGATCTTGGCGGAAGGAGAGGAGGAAGGGAATTAATTTATAGTGTAAAACTTTCCATGAAGTTTCATGTCTAGATGTCTTCCCAGTAAGCTGGACATTTAGGGAGGACTAAATACCAGTCCAAAAATTAGAACACTTACTTTCCAAACCACTGTATGAGATCAGGGTCACCTTTGCAACCAGATTGTGCTTCCTACAGGAGAGAGGTCACTTCGTGTACAGATTGATGGATCACTCCTTTGGGGTGATGCAGTGTTGGAGACAGATGAGACATCCTGGGGGAAGACTCAGAGGTGGTTAATTACATGAGACACCAGACAGATGTTGCATCTAAGGTTATTTGATTTTCCCCTTATCTTCACCTAATTTGTTAATAAGCACCATGGTTTTTCCTTCCAGCTGAGTATTTGAGAGGCCGAAGCAGAACTATAAAATCAAGGCCTGCTTGGGCAGTCTAGCAAACCCCATCCCAAAATAATGGATATCTCCAGTTCTGTAAACAGTTAACTGAATGCTTAGATGCTGCCCAGTTTATGTACTATGGAGGCTCGTACAGCAGTAACTAGATCTCGTGAGCCTTGCTAACTAGCCTGCCAAGAACTCCATGTACTTAATGCCCACGATAACCTGGACTGCTCACATTTTATATAAGTAAGTGACTTGCCAGAGATGCTGCAGCTATTAAGATACAGAACCCCAGTCTACCTTTAAAACATGATCTTTAATGAGCCCAAAATCAGCACAATATCATTTTCAGAAGTCTCAACCTGCTAGATTTTTTAAGGGTTGTTTTAAACATTAGCATCAGGACATATACAGCCTATAGGCATCAAATGTTTACTGTGTGTCCCTTTACAGAATAAAAAAAGAGTTAATAATTGAACTTCCTATACTCAGAAAACTCCAAGTCTAAACCGAAAATAATAGGAAGTCTATCTTGTGAATTAAATGTAGTCTGTGGTGTTGTAAAGCCATAAACAAGACTCAAAAGGATAGGGGAAAGTATACCCATTCTAGCCAGAAAAGTCAGAAATGGCATGTTTAAACTGCTTTTGGCAGGGTTGTTAAAATGGCAAGAACTGTTAGGGGTGGAATCCTACTCACTTGACAGATAATGATGAAATGGCCAGGTGCTGTCATGTCACATCTTGCTTAGAGAGGGCTCCAAAATATCAAAACTGGGAAATTACTTTTTTTCTTCAGCCTATAATTTGCTGAATTACACAGAAGAGATATTTAAACCATCTGCTCCTCAGTTTAGCCTTTAGTCAGATGTGACTGAAAACTCAGTTTTGGTAGATAAATTACATTTTTCAAGTAAAACCAAAATATCTGATAGAAGATACTTTGATCTAAGTAATTTCTGTTTTAAAATTTTCATACAATGTATTTTGATCATATTCTTTCCCATCTCCCTCCCTACCCAACTCCATATTCTCGCCCTCTCATATAGTTTATACATATACTTTGATCATATTTCCTTTATTCTTACCTATGCAACTCCATATTCTCTGTCTCAAAAAAGGAAAAAAGCAAAACAAACTTTAAAAAATCAATAAGATTAAAAAATATAATAATAACAAAACAAAAGCATGCACATATAAAACCATGGAATCCATTTTATTCTGGCCAACTGTTCTGGGCATAGAGCCTACCCTGGAATATGTTTGATATACCCAGTGACCCTCCATAGAAGAAAACTAATTTCCCCAGCAGGTATCAGTTTCAGGTAACTTCTTGGTGCTCACTTTCCCTTCTCAGGAATGGGATTCTGTTTGGTGTGAACCTGTGTGGGTTTTATATGTGCTATCTTAGTCTCTGTGAGTTCACGTGTTTCAGTCCTGTTTTGTCTGAAAATGTTTCCTTGGAGCCATTCACTACTTCCAGCTCTTTATAATCTTTCTACATCTTCCTCGTCTGCATAGATGCCTAAGCCTTGAGGAGAGGGTTTGACAAAGACATCCCATGTAGGGCTAAGTGCTCCAAAGTCTCACACACTCTGCACCCTGTTTAGCTGTGAGTCTTTGTGTTAATTCCGTCTTCCTCAAGAAGCAGCTTCTCTGATAAGAGTTGAGCCTGGGCGCTCATCTATGGGTATAGCAATATGTCATTAGGAGTTATCTTACTGCTATTTTCCTTTAATAGAATACTAGTGGTAGATACTACCCTAGGTTCATTACCTGTCTAGTCTAAGATTCTAAGCCACTTTAGTAGTGTCATGCTTGGTTCCCATCTTATGGAAAGGGCCTTAAATTCAGTTTTTAAAAGTGGTTAGTTGCTCTTATAACGTTTGTGCCACTATTGTACAAATCTAGATGCAAGTATTTTTAGGTGCACATGTGTAAAAATGATGGTTCTTTCAGTAAATACACCTTGAATTTTGTGTTCATTATTAACTGTCACTTACACTATTGTAATCCTTGTATTACTTTTTTATTTATGATTATTCTGCTTGCAGTTTTATAATACATGTACAATAATTGTGCAAACAGTGCAATCTTCTGAAAGATATTGCCAAAGTAGTCAAGTTAATATAGTACTGCTTGTTGGGGATTTTTATTTCACTAAATTGAGGAAATAACACAGGATTGCCATTTTTTTGTTATTTAAGCCCTTGCTATAAGCATTGCCTAAGGTATAATGAATGTAAACTCAAAAAATTTGTACTTCCTAAATTAGCACATAAGTTGAGTTTTATATTATGTTAGAAAGAGATGGAGGTATAGATCTGTGGCAGAGTGGATGTGTGTTTGACATATGCAAGGCCCTAGTCCAATTTCTAGCACACACATAAACCAGTTACATTACTAGATAGTGTTATCTTATGCACTTTAGAATATGACATTAATAGGTAATTGTTTGTATTCTGAAGTCAAGGCAATAAAAGGATAAATTATTTTGTGTTGATTGGAAAATACTCCAAAACATCAAAAATAAAAGTAGACAGGATATAAAGATTACCTGGTCTTGTAGTTTATGCAGACTGGCATATATTGTATGAGTCATAAATGTTATGTCTATGTTTATAACATTTTTAAAAGCCTGGTAATATCTGTAAGCTATTTTATTTTCTGAATATCATTAATATTAATACATAATCATTGACCTAATTAATGTGTATGTGAGCAGATCACTTTCCCCTATTCTCCTGGGGATATATATTTTAAATTAAATGTTTCTCATTAAGTGAAATCCATTCTTTGAACATTTTTTTCTCAGTTTGAAAAGAATATTATTAGTGATAAATTGCAATTTTGTTTTTCTGTTTTCTGTTTGTGTAGATATTTTGTTTAGCATAGATTCAATTATGTATTTAGCATTTCAGTTGTTTTTCACACAAGATGAATACTATAGTTGTCGTAATGTGCCCATAACTACTTATCAGCATTTATTCCTCCGTTTTAGTAGCCAAATTATGTATGTCGTGTTATAAAAACATTAGTAGCCACAGATCCATATAAAAACATTTATAAATTAATACTTTTGCCTTAGCATTTTTTAAAGAGTGTATTGCTGCTCTGTGTTGTTGACATGAATTGAAGTCCCTCTTGGTCTTAAGGACATGCTGAGATGATTGAAGAAATGAACGAAAAGAATCATTCTAGGAATATCTGAATGCAGCCTTTTTGAGTTGTGACTAAAGTCCACCCTGAAACCTTTATCTAGTCATGACAAAGGAGTGGCTTCACACAGCTGTATTTTGATAGAATTATTTGCTGTTGATGAGAG